TTATAAAATTCAAAATATTTTCAGAATAATGGATACAAGTTTTCCTTATTTCTGAAGTATATTTTACATTGTTTTACAATTTCCTTTTCCTGTTTTGAGAAAAAGTAGAAAGCATATTTCTTTTCTTCATTTATCATAGAAGCTTCAATAGAAATTACAACATGAATTTGAAAAACTTTTGGAAGTGTGGACTAAGATTTCATTGGACACAAAGAAAATTCAGATGCAAGTTGTGCAGACATTTTTATCATACAAAGTGTTCAAAATGTAAGTAAACTCTCTAACTTTCTCAGGTATAATGCTATATCACCTATATATTAAGATGCAGATTATTGTCCTGATTGCCATGATGTCAGCAAACAAAAATTATTTATTAAATTAAAGAAAATAGATAATTATCATCAGAGTAAAATTCATCCAGAATATGATGAAACTGTTGTTAATTTAGAATCATCAATGAATAATACAAGTGAAACGAATACAAATCAGGTAATTTCATTTGTTCAAAGATATTATTATTTCACCATAAATTTTAACAGTTAAGACTTTCCTTTGACTTCAATTCACCTGAATCACCAAACAATGAAAAAGAGTTGAACTTTCCTGAACATGGACAAGACATGGCAAAGAGAGTTGATATAAGTGATGAAACTTCATTTAAGATCATGGAAACAGAAAGAGATGATTTCAAAATAGTTGTAGGTGGAAGTACAAAAAATAAAGACTTACTTCTACACAAAAACTGTTCATATTCTGTAAAAAGAAAAACCAAAAGTTCAATCACCTGGAGATGTACTCAGAGATATGCCAAAGCTCCTTGTCCTGCATACATATTACAAAAGGGATCAAAGTTCATTGTAAAAAATGAAAACCTTCTTCATAAATTGCATAAAAACATAGAAAGTGTTCTTCAATCAAGAATGGACTTAAAAGAAATGGCAACTGGTGACAATGGAAAAACTGGTAAAAGAATAGCAGAAGATATTATCCTTAAATTTAAAGATAGTATTGAAGACTTGCCAGAACTAGAATCATTAAGAACAAAAGCTTCTAGATATAAAGAGAGTAAAGACCAAAGAAATTGTTTACAGATTTGCTTGAATATATAGAAGTAACATTCATTAAAAGCAGTACTTGGCCTCCTCAATTCTGGTCTGTTTATCAATTAATTGTGAGAACAAACAATCATGTTCAGGCATGGCATTCCAGACTCAACAAAAATTTGAAAATGGATGAGAACTTTTATTCTCTCATAAAAGAATTGAAAAGAGAAGCTGAATTAGTAGAGATCTTTGAAAAGTTATTGTCTGAAAAAAAGTTGAGAAAAATACAGAAGAAGTATAAAGATTTAGAATTTAAAATATTCCAGTTGTGGAGTAAATTTGAAGAAAGAGAATTGAGTTTAGATGAATTATTGGATAGACTTGTTGATTTAAATATCTGTTAAAATTTGTTATTTCTTGTTCTGCATTTTAGTTATTAAACTTAACACTCCTTACTATTTGTAAATTGTTTTTTATATTAAAAAAATAAACATAAATGTTCACAAAATAAAAATTATATTTGTCATATTTATCAATTCATAAGTACTAAACCTATCTTCAAGTGAGACACAATGCCTTTAGTATGACTGCCTTAGAATGGGCCGAAATGTCCAAAAGTGGGCCGAACTGTCCTGGGCCGAAATGTCCTGACCCCATACTATTTTCATCAGTTTTTGAATTAGTTAAAGATAATTTAGGATATATTGCTCTGAATATTGTTCTGAAGAAAGCAGAAATTCCTACAATTACAATACAACAAAGTACATATATTTTATTTCAAATTAGAAAATATTTTGTACAAATAAAATAAAGTAATAATAAACAGTAAACAGAATTGCGAAATTTATTTATTCATTGTTATATTTGTCAAATATGTTCAGTTTGTATTTTAATCAGTATTTTGAAGCAAAAGAAAGCAATTTGTACATAGTTTAAAGTTGAAACCCAGTGCTTTATTTTCCACAATTAGACTTGAACACCATTTACAGAAAGTAGTTTGAACAATAGTTCTTTTGTTTATGGAAGATTTAAACAAAGGTTTCAATTTCTTATTTATTTCATTTTCCATTGCAATTAAAAGGTTTGTTGAGATTTATCAGTAGAAATAAGATATAGATCCCTCTTTCTTTCTCTCTCTCTCTCTCTTTGCAATGATTTTACTTATGAGTTATTCATCATTTAAGCAAGTACTTTCCTTATAAATACTCAAGCAGTTGTTTACGTCATTCAGAAAAATATCACTCAGCCAATAGAATTTTAGTTTGGTGCCTTGTTGCAAATCATACTAGATTTAATGGTCATAATAGGAAAATAGGAAATGACAGAAATTGTCCCGAATTTCACATTTTAACCCTAACCCTAACCTAGCCCTTGTCTCACCTTAGCTTTTTTGATTGCTCCTAACACTTAGATGGAACCCCCCCCCCCCTAAACTATAAATCAAAAGCTACTTGACTCCTAACCAATTTTCAGTCCGAAATGTTGCTTTCAAAAATGTCATTTGGTGACGTTTTCTGTTGGCCCCACAATGCACAGCAACATGTTTTCTTAAATTACAGACAATGATTGCTATTTGCAACTGTATGAATCTATTAACTCAAATTAAGATTACTTTTATTGAATGACAGTTATGATTCTATTCAAATTTTAGATTTAATATTGAAAATGAATGGATGAAATTGTAGATTGTTTTATAATGCACAACAAAAAGTTCTAACAATAGTTTAAGAGTTTCAAAGCAGCTTTTAAATCCTGCGTGATTGCTTTTAATGTGAGTGTCAGAATACAAGTAATCATAGTACAGAAAGTTTACTTATACTGTTTTTAAATGTTATATCCCTGCTGTTAGGGATTGCTACAAACCAGGTGTCTTTTTCTTTTATAGAGCATTTTCTTCTTTTTCTCTCTCTCTCTCTTACCTCTTAGTTGACCAGCTGATACTTTTGCCTTACTCCCTTGGTTTAAGATTCCCTCCCAGCTGTTTAATATAACTAGCGTTAAAGTCTGATACTAGATCATTGGTATTGAATCATTACTCATCACTTGACATGTCCCCTGTTTCTACCATTAACAAATAATCATTCTTGTTTAATATTCTATAATATTCTACTGTACAAGCCTCTTTTCTAATTTCTCACATTCTGCTTTATTGTTCCCAATTACTCTGCTGTACCCAACTTGTTGGGGTTTTTTACCATATTTCTTTTACATATTAATTATGTCCATAACATATGTTTAGCTTTAATAGTGGTGGCTTAACAATCATATTTCAATTTAAGATTAATATGGATATTCTATTGTTTTTAAGTAGTTAATATAATTTTTCAATACATTCCATATCTGTATATCTCTATATTTATCATTTTCTCAACAAAACTTCTACATAAAATGCATCTAAATATTGAAAATCTTTCCCAGCACCATGAGCAGATAACCATGTGGTGGTTCAGACAGAAAACCTCCACAACAGAAAACATCCACAAAAGACAGAAAACGTCCACAAAATTAAAACAGTTAAAAAAAATGGTGAAAAAAAAAACAAATTTTTCTTTCGAAAACTTTATAGAAAAGTATTACTTTTATATGTATAATTAATTATATCTTTAAAAAAGATGACTTTGATAGTTAAAATTAGGGGACAGAAAACGTCCATAAAGAGACAGAAAATGTCCACAAAAAAACAAAATATTTAATAAGTGACAAAACACTTTTAGTTATCTCTTCATAGTAACAAAAGATTTTTAATTCACACTTTTGATAAAATAAATAAATTTATGATCCCCAGCAAAAACAGGTATTGTTGGAAATCTTCTGCTGTGAAAATAGAAAAGATCAACTTTCTTTTCTATTTTCACTCAGCAGAGGTAAGATGGAATTTTAATTCTGTTGTGATGAATCTGTAACTCTCAAATGCATAAATTGCCTGAGCAGAAATAGTGCATTATAAATTATAATATTGTTTGTTCCCTTTGTTCATGTAAAAGTAGTCTTTTCAAAGATGAAGGTCACAGACATAATTTTTCATTATTGTCAAACATCTGACAGTTTTTGTTGTATTCTGATAGTAGGAATTCTATTCCTGTCCAAACCAAATTAATTCCATTATTTGCAATAATCCAAAAATAGAGATTTCAATAATAAGTTGAATCCACTGAATTATGCTTTATAACGGGACGTGACAGAAAATGTCCATGAAACAAAACATCCATGAAAGAAAACGTCCATAAGCTGAAAGAAAACATCTATGAATCAAAAGAACACATAAAGTAAAGAAATTTTCATTTAAATATAAATATATTGTACACATTCAGGCGGTTATTGTAAACCATACTTACCTACAAGTACTTTGGTACATTGGTAAATGATTGGTGAGGACGAATTCGAATTTGATAAGCTCGAGAGACCTACAATTACAATACAGCAAAGTACAACGTAGTTCATTAAAATACTAATTATGCATTTAATTCAAATTGTAAATTTTGATTTACTTCTCAGCCATATTTTATACACAATAAAAAAATAATAAAAATATTAATAGTTTGCATTTGGTTCATCATTTTACTGACAAATATATTGCTATAGGCCTATATTAAAAAAAACACAAATTTTATTCGTGGAGTTTTTTCAATAAAACTCGATTATCTATTTCTCAATAAAAAGCCCACCTCCTTACAAAATTAGTAAGCTTTTGTCAGTAAAGAACCAAACATTAAATATGACAAAAAATGTCTTAGAGCACAATGAAATATATAAAAAGATTATTGTTTGAAAAGAATAGGTAAGTTATGACAATAATTCATTATTTGTATTTGTATAAATTTAAATATTTAATCTCAATTGTTAATTAAACAATACTATTTAACAGAATTCCAAAAAGAAAAATTGATCAATAAACTTAATAATTTTATTCAGATATTCATTTTGCAATTTAACCTTAACTAACAACTATTCCAGATGATTTTACTCTGAATATTAACTATGTCAAGTTCATTTTTGGTGAAAATCTTCTTTTTCTTCTTTGTATCATTAAAAACTTCAGGTTAGTGTTGTTTGTTAAGTTCAAATGTAATTGAAGTTGCTATTTTTTGGCACATTGGAACACTTTTTAAAGAAAAGTTACGAAAAAGTATTCCTGGTAATACTATAAAGATAAAACTATTAAGGGAAGATATTCTCTATTTGTCTTAGACCTGTAACACTCATTTAACTTATGACATATTTCTTAGATATAGAGCTTAAAAAAGAAAATGTTAAACATACCTATGTTTGTAATTTCTATGGTTAATCTATCCATACAGTATTGGCAAAAAGTCCCCAGCCACCTTGTAAAATTTTTAATTTTAGCCCAGAGTCTTACAAGATGGCTGGGGACTTTTTGCCAATACTATCGATAATAATATTTGATTACATGTAAAATATTAATACACCAATTAATCAATTAGCCATTGAATACAAAATTTTCTAAATATATTTATCAATATTTCTGTTTCAGCAATAGAAACTTTTTGTTCAATTGATAATGACTGCTCAAGTTTTGAAAATTGTTCATCAGGCAGATGTCTATGCCAGTTGGAATATGGTCAGCAAATATGCAATGATAGTAAGATTAGTAAAAATGGAAGAATTTTTGTACTCTATGACTAAAATTTTTTTTTTAACAGGCAATAGTCTTATTCTAGACAAAAATAAAAATGTAGCTGGTACAAGAATTTTGAACATGGTGGGAAATTCAATTCATCGTTGCTATGAGACTTGTTTAACTGATTATTCTGATGATTGTCTTGGATTTATATTTAAAGATCTCAATGACGGAACTTATAATTGTCAGTTTTATAAAGAAATATCATCCCTAGCTTTCAATTCTGACTATTCATTAATTCTTTTGAAAAGTAATAAAATATTAAATTTTACAACCAAAATAAAAAATTGATTTTTAAATCATTGTCATTAAAATTTCCCTTTTATAACAAAATTCAGATAAAAAGCACGCAGTTTGCGGAATAGATGAAAATCAATTACCACTAATTGAAGAGTGTTATCATCAGATATGGAAAGAAAATGGTTGTTTTGGTCAACAATTTAAAGTTGAAACTAATTATCAAACAATGACTGTTTTACAATTTGATAATTATGCAAAAGATGTATATGAGAATTCTATAAAATTATATGGTGTGAATTTGCATTCAAATTTCTATAGGCGAATCTGTTTCGAACATATGGATGGCAATGAAATGAATATAGCATTCAATTTTAAAAAAATTGATTATAGTGGATATTTTGAAGGTTCTCTATATGATCCAAAACATGTTGTAGATGGTTTACATGATAATAAAATTACATTGGGTTCTTGTACAATATTAAAGAGACTCTTACGCATTCTTCAACCCATAATTACAATTCATTTAAAAGGGCAACATACTCTCAAGAAAGTAATTCTATGGCCAACCAATCAGCAAAGTAGGTCAATAATTTGATTATTTTTTTTCTCTGCAGATAAAAATCTATTGTTTTCTCCTTTAGTTACTCAACAATTGGAAATTTACATGGACAATATTTTTAATATCTGTACTGATGATAATATCATATTGGCAAATAATTCACCAACAACAGTGCTATGTAACAAACTACAACAATCTAGAAGTTCTAGTTTAACAGTTAAATCAAAAAATACAAACTTTTTGCATTTATGCGAAATTGAAATAATTTCTAGTAAAGTTATCATCATTTTTCAATGATTGATATAATTGTTTCTTTTCTTTCTATTTATAGACAATATAGCCTATTTGAAAGGAGTTACCTACAAATTTTCCCAGATGGACTTGTTTATATTAACTGATGGTTTTACAAGTGAAACTACACAGGTGAAAATTGGAGGGCAGTATTGGATTGCAATTAATCTATTTGCTTACTATAATGTTCTTGTTATTGATTTTATATTACCGGTACAAAACACTCTCTCTAATCAATTTCGTATTGAACTTACAAATGAAAATCCATACTTAGAATATGACCCATTAAAATACAGTTTATGTGGAGAACATCCAGACAATACAGAAAGTTTCATTTCCCACTTTGAAATCTCGTATTCACTTTTGTGCCCTAGAGGAGGGGTCGAAGGTCAATTTGTTGTACTTAGAACACAAAGAGCTACTCCTGTGACATTTGTAATTGGTGAAATAGAAGTTTTTGGCAATTATATAGACAATCCAATGAAGAAAATATTAATATATTGTATCGTAAACCAGTATGGACATCTTCAAATTATAATTCTATATACACTCCTCAAAAGTTAACTGATGGTCTGTACAATAGTTTCTTCATTCTGAAGAAGGTTTCCAACAATGGGCAAGAATTGATATGTTTTCAAAGTACACTATTTATAAAATGGCAATTTTAAATGGAGATATGCATGGTATTGTTTGACTCTAATCTAATATTCTTTTAATCAGTTATTATCATTTGAATTTGCAGGTTACAATACAGCAAGGCATATCAATGGTTTAGTGTCGAATTATCAAGATTTTAGCATTCAGGATTATCATTTATATTCTGAAAAATGTTTTACGAATAATGAAGACTTTTCAGGTGGTGAATATAGATTATGGGAATGCAAAATGCCGTTTCCAATTGGTCGATTCGCCATCTTTTTCCAAAATTCACATACTTCTATCATATTCTTGAAGTAGAAGCGTACGGTCAGAAAATTGTAGATAACGATATGGTTCTCTTACCAATTGCGCATATTGATAGGAATAGTAATGCTAAAAGTATTTCTGACAAAGAAGAAAGTGCTCAATATCCAATAAAGATTATAGATGGTTTAGCCAACAATGCCTTTACTGATGGATTCTTATCATGTTCGGGTACTTTAACAACAAATAATAATGAAGTAGGACGAATAACACTCTATATGGATAATCAGTATTTAATAAATCAAATAGGTGTACTAATTCCATTTGAAGCGCCTAAAGGTTAGCATCTTCTTTTAATGTTTGTATCATATTCTTTCCCATTCAAATATTTCTATGTTGTTGCAGAAAATTTTGAAAATATTCAAGTTACAGTTGAAATGATCATTGATACAACTTTACAAAAATCAGTTTGTTCAAATTTGACAAACAACTTTAAAATAAAGCAATTGTTGTACAAATGTGAATATATTGGCGATAGAGTATCTTTTTATAAATTTGGTGGAAATCATTTAATTCAAATTTGCGAAGTTTATATTTTTGGTAGAAAACAATTTGTCAATAACAATAAATCAATTCATTCTGCTGCCAATCTTATATATTCATTAGATACTTCGACAATCTTTTCAAATTCAATTTGTAATAGTTTCTATCCTACTAAAGATTACTTTATTGAATTACCAGTTTATTCTCAAATTTCTGCAATTGGCTTCCTTTTAATGAAAAGTGTAGACTTTCAATCTGATTTAGATGTTTATGCTGTATCTTATGGGATAGAAATACTATGTACAACTTTAAATATATACCATCTTCGCGTTGACAAACCTACAAATTTTACATTTCTTTGTAAACAGGAAGTGTTTGCCAAATATTTAAGAATTTCCTCACAAATCAAAACAAATATTACTTGTAATTATTACATAATAATTAAAAAAATTATTGAGAATATTCCAGGTTTGAGAGAGATATGTTTTTTTACTTGAGCTAATCAATCTAATATTTTGTTTCTGGTTTTTTACACAGTAAAATATCAATTAAAATATGAACAAAAATGGATTAAGCCATCCTACATCTACTCAACCATTCATCAAATACAAAATGTTATTGACTGTTATAAAATTTGCAAGATGGATAGTCAAGATTGTCAAAGTTTAATCTATTCAGAAACATTAAGACAATGCAATCTCAGTTCTTTTCCAATTTTTCCAAATTCCAATGAATATTTATTGCAATCAATAGATAATCACTATTCCATATTATATACAATTGACAAAAAGTTTATACAATCATGCTAAAATTCTTAATAGAATATTCTTTAATGGATAAAGACAAAATGATATTTTGCATATTATATCTTATATATCTACTTTACAATGAATGTTGTACTTGATTTGATTCTAAATTGACCTATATACTATTTTATACATTTTTATCTTATACTTTTCAAAAAGTTTAAAATAATTTCCCTTATCAGTTGTTTATGTCCTTGGTGTCAACAATAAGGGTCTTATTCCCAGATAAGGATTGTTCACAACAAAAAGGGTAAGGGTCATGAAATTACGCAATACTGATGTAAATAACAATTGCTTTGTGTAGGTAAAACCTTGAGGGTCAATTGTTATATCATGTTTATGTAAACAAACACTTGCTCTTATTGTCAACATGTTTAGTTATGTAAAATCTTATCCTTTTGCCTACAAAAGGGGTTGATTCTGGTATTATCATGTACCCTAGAGGCAACATCTACTTGAACACTTTCACTATATAGCAAGTATTATTTATATAATCTCATATAGTTCATAAGTGTACACCAGCATCTCCTCTAACTAAGATTCAAAGGCAGGGCGAAGGTAGTAACAGGTATTCAGCCCTGAATGAACAAGATTTGGTGCTATATTCATTTTCCATCAATTCTACATCTCCCTTCTAAGTGGCTTACTCCTAATTTGATTCTATGTGGACCAGTACTTACCTACAACCCTACAGCAGAAAAGTACAACTGGTATTGGCAAAATTCTTCATTTCAACAAATGAGAGTTTACCAAATGAATATTTAATAGTTAAACTTTCTGATATAAAAGATGATGACAGGTGTTGTAAAAACTGGACTACAATTTTTTCCATCATAGATGTAGAGTCACCTTAATTTGTGGAAGGAGTGCTGATGTCCATTATCTCTTTCTTGAATTTATTCAACTCCTCTCCCAATATGTCCTTTACTAGCTTTTGGACATCCCCTACTGTCTCAAGTTGAGGAAATGCTGGAGGATTATCAGAGAAAAAATCTTAAATGGTGGAATTACCCTTCTTTTTCCTCTTCGCCACTTTTTGACTAGTTACTCTTTTCCTTTTCTTGTGGTAGACAATTTCAGTACAAGGAAGATTTGGGATTTCATTTCCTTTCAAGATTAAGATTGGGAAGTTAGGTTGGGAACTGTGTGAAATGTTAGATTTAGTACAAGCTGAGAACTAGGTGCTGGAACTGGCCAGAGTTGTGTGATAATCAGTGTATACCATCAGATGATACATGTGATTTCAAGCTAGATAGAGTTATTCAATTCAAGTTTATTGCCAAATTCACTAACAATAATATAAGTTCAATGGAATAATAGGAGTTAACTGGAATGTTTAATAATTTTCAAATATCTTAATGTATATTACAAAAATTTAGAAATGAATTTCATTTAGGCAATTAACTTATTGTATTGTGCAAGAAAAATTCAATATCTAAATTTAGCAAATAATTTAATATTGTCAATTAAGCAAAGTGAATTTCTCATTGGAATAATCAAGATAATACAAAAACTAATAATTATAAAACACAAAAAAGTATAAGAAATTATAGAATTAATGTTTTTAATTACCTAAATTATTGAGAATGATTTATCTTCTGTAAGAAACCTAAACTGGAAGTCAGAAATAGGAAATAGTTTCTCAACAAAATGGTGGAAAGATTTTTTTTATCACACAAATTTAAAAAAATTATTGACATTCTTATTATAAATTCAAGATCAAATTAGGAGTTTGATATTTCTCTAAGTTATACTAGTTAGCTTTATAATTTTCATAAAGTTCCATAAGTTCTTCTAGAAAGTTCTCCTTATAAGTTTTTCCCCTATCTACCAAAATTTGTGTATGTGTTTGTTCCCTTGTCAGCAAATGCTTTTCTAAAATACTTTGCCAAAACACTTTTATTGGAAATTTTACAATTTTGTTTGGCTGTTCACATTTAGTTTTAATTGATATAACACATATTTCATTGGAATCCTCATCTGCAATATGACAATTTACAAATGATTTATTAAAGAGTCTACAGTCTTTTATGTATTGTTTATACAGTGATTTGTTATTTATAATTGTTTTTCTATGGTTAAATGATTTCCACATCCAGATAAAAAAATGGAGGAAAAATTCAATGTGAATTTTTGGAATCAAATGTACAAGTATTGAAGTTTTTGATTAATGTAGGATACATACAGGAATTCTATAGCTTGCCTAAGTCTTCCATCAAAATGCAATAATTTCAAAATCTTCTTGTGAATATATTCATATTAAACTTTTTGTCCAATTCATTTTGAATATATAATTTTGGTAATAGTAAGTTATATTATAACATATATCACTCCACATGGAGCTTTATAAAATAAAAACTCATTTAAAGATTATAGGAAAATTATTAATGCTACTTGAATACTCTTCACTACACTTCCTGTAATATTACTTTGACATACTTATATTATACCAAGAACAATAATACATAAATCAATAGTACTTCCTCTCTATTGTTTATGCTAATCTTTTGATTCACCATTTACAAAACTTGGAAAATTTCACACAAGTGTATTGTTAATATAAAAGTAACAATCTGAAGTTTGCTTTAAACATTTAGCATGAATTGTTTAATTATCTTGAACATAAGATGGATGTTTGTGGCAGCTGTTATTCTCAATTTATTCAATTATTGCTTAACATTAAATTATTGTCAACAAAAAAAAATTGGAATTTACAATGAAAACAAATTTCCGAATTCATATTTTACTGATTATTTACCACATGGAGGTAGAAAAGCATATGACGTCAGACTTAAAGATGTATTTACAGCATGGATGTCAGTCAATTATGGAGTTGCATGGGTACAAGTATATTTAGGTTTGTGAGAAAGGAAATTAATTTCCAGACAAATTCTTACTAATCAATTTATTTTTCAGGTGAGATTTATGATATACATGGCATGGATACAAGAGGAGATTGTTGGTGCAGCAATGGTCATAATGAGCAATATTATATTACAACCTTTAAATTATCTTATTCATTAAATGGAGGTCAATTTAATTATTATGTAGATGAAAATGAAGTAGAAAAAGTTGTTCTAAATGAAAATTAATGTTTAAGAAAAGTAATAATTTGTTTTTCATTTTCATAAAGATCCTCAATGGAAATGTCGGAGCAACATGGAATATACCTAATAGAAAGACTTTTGACAAGAAAATTGAAGCTGATACACTAAGGATACACCCAATAACTGGTTTCTATTCAGCATTAGCCTTTGAATTATATGGCTGTGGTAATATATCTTTATAATTCTCCTATAAAATAATCAATAGAGTATTAAAAAATTTGCATATATTTCCAAAATATTATCATTTTTTTACATTCTCATTTTTTAATAGAAAAAAGTGTTAAACTTGTTTAGAACAAATATTGATTGAAACAATCTTTTAATTAATTCTAAAATGTCACACACCGGAAGTATTGAATTAACAAACATTTTTTAAAACAGAAAAACAATAGGATGGTATTGAAATGGTTGACATACAGTTTCATTTAGCTTATCTTTTATATTAAAACAGAACAAATTTTTATTATTCTCTTTTAGAAATTTTTGAAAACTATTTCCAAAGGTTTTATATCAGAAATTTCATCTTCATGTCAATCAAAATTTGAATTTAATCATTTAATTTTTTGCAAAACACAATATAAAAAGTTTGCAATACAATTCATTTCTTTCAAATCAAACTTTTAAAACAAAATAAATATTTAGTTCCATTTCTATTTTAAACAAATGGACAAAAATAGCTGAATGCAGTGAATCTGATACATAGCTTAGATGTAAGAAAATTAGTGGTGGAAAGAAAATTAAGAAGATGTCTAAGAGCAAGATTTCAAGACAGATACAGAATTCAAGAGTGCCTGTACAGAACATATTTAAAAAATATTTAAGAAATTGGCCATTGGAGAAAACACTTTGAATCTAAAGGCAATTTCAGACAAAAAATTGAATGCAATG